ATTTTTGGCCTCAGGAAATGAGATAAGCCATCAGTACAGCAGGTTTGAGTGATTTTCAGACACTGTATATACCACAGTTTGTGGACACAAATTTGAGTTATTTTCACCCACAAAAAGTAGCAGTACACATTTTGGCCAATATTTAGGAAGAACAACTATTTGTTTGTAAAATGTTATAACAGAAATGAAGAAAAACTTTTTTTCAAAAAGGTTTGTCTTTTTTAATTTAACAAAAAATAAAAAACCCAGTGGCGATTAACCACTTGGCTACACCTTTCTTTGGGTAGTATTTAATCACTACTGGAGTTTTTATTTTTTTGCCCTATAAATGAAAAAAGAGCAAAGATGGTTGAAAAAAAAAAAAGGTTTCCTTTGTTACTATTATAAAATTTTGCAAACAGGTAATTTTTCTCCTTCACTGATGTGCGTTGAGGAAGCTGCACTGATAGGCAGGATTGATGGGCACTGATAAGCTACAATGATGAGGCGGTACTGATGAGGAGACACTGATGATGCTGCATTGATAGACAGCACTGCTGGGCACTTTTGGGGCTGCACTGATAATCAGGGCACTGAATACCAGTGCAGATGTCAACTTTGACAGTTGCCGGCAGAACTTTCCTTACACTGTGACAGCGTGAGGGAAAATACTGCCGATAACCGGAAAGTGTATATACAAGATGATCAGCTGTGATTGGACACAGCTGATCACATGGTAAAAGGATGCTGTGATTGGCCTTTTGACATGTTAGGTGATCAGCTGTGTCCAAAAGGCACAGCGAACACAGAAAACGCCAGGTTCGTGTCGCTTGGCGCGTGTTTTTGGAGGACGTTATAGGACACCCTCCCAGAACTGGACGACCGTGCTATAGCCATTATTCGGCTATAGCGCAGTCAATAAGTGGTTAAACCAAAAAGAAAACTCTAGTTGTGTGAACAAAATGATAAAGATTTAGTTTGGGTACAGTGTTGCACGACTGCGCAATAGTCAAACTTTCGTTTTATTTAATCACCACTGGGTTTTTTTATTTTTTGCACTATAAACGAAAAAAGAGCAAACATTTTGAAAAAAAGGTTTTCTTTCTATTATAAAATTTTGCAAACAGGTAATTTTTCTCCTTCACTGATGTGCGTTGATGAGGCTGCATTGATGGGCATGGATAGGCAGCACTGATGATGCTGCACTAATATGCAGCAATGATGGGCACTAATAGGTAGCACTGACGGGCACTGACAGGCACAGATTGGCAGCACTGCTGGGCACTATTAGGCCTGCGCTGAAAATCAGGACATAATCAGTGCCCCGATTATCAGTACAGATGTCTGCTTTGACAATTGCCGGTTACTGGCAGTACTTTCCTCCTGTGACAGCGTGAGGAAAGTACTGCCGATAACCAGCAAGTGTACTTACATGGTGGTCAGCTGTGATTGGACAACGCTGATCACGTGGTAAAAGGCCGCTGTGATTGGCCTTTTACCATGTCATGTGTTCAGCTGTGTCCAAAGGATACAGCGATCACAGACAGCACTGAGTGCACGCTGCTGGGGGCTCATTCTAGGAGGACGTCATATGACGCCCTCCCAGAACTGGACGACCGCGCTGTAGATGTCATTCGGCTATAGCGTGGTAGTAAAGTGGTTAAACAAACCAAGAAGAAACCTTGGCTACTCACAAACCAGAGGTGACTGTAACCTTTTAGCAAAAAGGAGACCCATACAAAATTCATAGTCGTCGAAAATAACTTTACTAATTCACAAAATATCCACCATGTTTTGTGGTAAAACACACTCCCCCTTCATTAGGGCTAGAATATAAATATAAATGAAAAAAAAATAGATAACTATCCACTTGTATACATAGTGCCTAAAATCCTAACATTAAGAACAAGATCAATATATGCCTTGCATACAAATACCAGGTAATTTCCTAAATAGAATAAATAATTCATGATAATATAGTTCATATAATATGTTGTAATGTAAATCAATAAGTGCAAAATTATAGTTCGTAGCTCCCGGAAATGACCCTCTGGACCCTGGTCAACAAGATTTGTTGAGACCAGAAGGGCAAGAGGTGTGCTGACACTCTTAGAAGGGGGGAGTCCCATCACTAGGAAGAGGCCCTGGAATCAGTCGTGGCTGGTCTGGAGAGTCGTGTCTTCTTACCAAAGTACGTTCCAGTCTTGGACTTGGCATTGAAAAACTGAGAGGGATGAAAGTAACCCTTCCTAAACTAAAGAGGAGTAGTTCTACTGATAGCGATATAAAACTTCTATTTCTCAGGGAAGGAGAGTAATCTTACCCATTCTGATCCCCTTGATATACTTATCCAAGAAGGGACCAAACAGCTGTTCCGTTTCAAAGAGCTCAAGGCATATTCTGCATGGGAGCTCAGCTGACCAGCTTTTAAGCCAAAAGGATCCTGCGTATATGTGACTGGAAAGTACTTATCCTGAAGCAATGATGAAGTGTATCCGCCCTGCCATTCATGCAAGTTAAGGCTTGTAATTAAAAGATTTAAATGACTGTGGATGAGGAATTCATTAGGAAGCAACTAGGATTTCAGGCCATGCACTTAATCCAACAGCAATCATCTGATAGACTGCCATTAAATCAATTGCAGGTTGCATAATGGTATCAGGGCCTGGACTTGAACCTGGGACCTCCACTGTGTCAGGCAGTAACTCTTCTCACTGAGCTACCTGGGATGCTGGACAACACTCTGCCTGATCTATTGGACAATCCTGCCTTGTGTCTTGTTTTCTGGTGAACCTTGAACTCCTTGCTCCTCATGAACTTCCTGATTTAAGCCATGTCTCTGTACTTCCTGTTGCCAGATTATTGTGCCTTCTCCAGCCAGTATCTCAGTTGTCTCTCCTGCTGCCGTCTATACCTTCGCTACCGACCTTTGGCTTGTTCCTTGACTACGATTCTGCCTCATCCCATCTACTACCGCTTGTTACCGACCCTTGGCTTGTTGACTTCGCTTCTGCTAGATTCCTACCTGCTCTATCTGCTATCGGATTCTGGCTTGCTCATTTCCTGGTGGGGTGATCCTGAGAACTGCCACCCGGTACTAAACACGCAGCTAAATCCATCTCCACCATTAGGAGCTCTGGTGAAAACCGGTTAGTGCTTAGACCCCGCACCTGCAGGTGAGCCTGCGTCATTTCCCAGGGTGACCGGCTGGTGTACCCATCCTGCTGGTTTCAGGTAAGCCTTACACTGCTATAGCAACTGGTCTCTGAACCTGACCTCACACCGTGACAGGTGGAAATAACCAAGGAGAAGAGCAATTTAAAAAGGGCATCTGACCTCTTGTCTACGGGGTCCTTGAACACAGGATTATCCTCCACAGGTGAAGGTCATGTTAAAAACAGAAAAGGCAGGATCTACCACAGGAACCACCCACTTCCACAGGAAAGCGATGCATTTTGGAGGAGTAAAGATCTTCTCCAGGTGAGGCCAGGTTCCACAAGCAAGTGGACTGGGATAGTCTTGACTGGTTAAGGTAATTTAAGGGACTCTTGCTGCATAAATCAGAGCATGCTTAGTCAGTAAAGGGTGATATGTTATCCTTAAGTTCAGATGAAATCTCTGTTATGGGTGTCACCTTCTCTTGAGGTATTATGCCTGGCTCAAGGATAAAATCAAAGACTAAATCTGGAGGGGAAGTCACAAAAAAAAGGTTGGTGTGATAGCTGACCCAGCACAATGGCCAGAGAAAGGAGAAAGGCAGAGAGTCGGACTAGGGAAAAACATCAAAGTAAAAGATACTAGAGCATCAAGTGGAAAAAGTAACACCCTCATTGGGGTTAAACACCTGAGTTTGAGTTAGCAGGTCCATCTGATCCTTTTCCCTTTTGCTTAAGATCTGCCATGCATGTAAAATATCTTCCTCAGTGGGCTACTCATGATCTCTGCCACAGTAATCCCACCGAAAGTGGAGGAGTGCGGAAACAAACTATGAGGTTGCACTGGTGCAGAAAGTGCCCACGTCCTGCAAGGTAAACCCTGGCACATCTGGTTCTCAGCTGCCACTGCCGAAAGGATAGTCAAAGGCCTCCACACCCCCAAAGGGGACCTGTAAAATAAAAGGGAACCCTGGGCTGAATGTTTTTAAAGTTTCCCACCCTGTACTCACAATTTGTGATCTTGTAGACAGGAGTAACATGGTATATACCCCGTCCTGGCTACACCCTCCATGATAGGCACACACCTCAACTGTCTTGGGGACTGGGCTCTGCTGCTGGCATGAACCTGTAAAGTTAACTTGCCCCCTGCAACTTAAAACGCATCATGTGCCAAGTGAGCATCCACGCAGGATCCAGTGTACAAAGCGATATTGCAAACTGGCTCCACATCTTTTTCTGGGCCTGGTTACAACCCCCCAAGGTTTGGGCAAGGGGTTAACTGATATGGAAGCTGCATCTGTAGAAAGAAAGAAACATATAAAAAGGAGGAAATCTCTCAATAGAGAGAAGTCCATCACAAAACAAAGAAAAAAAATACAGGCTTGTCTGAAATGGGAGGGGCTTTATAGGTCTTTCTTTGTTTGCCAGTGTCCTGTCACAAGAAGGTAGCTGCATATAACTCATGGTTATAGACTAAAACATGTGACTTGTACAGTATGGCAAGAAATAAAGTTTCAGACACGGAGCTGAAAAATAAACGTTGTAGCTGCTGTAATAACATTGGTCTAGCACACAAACAATAGTTTATCTTTAAAGTTGTCCAAATAACTAAAACTTTTTGTATTCTGATGTAAAGGTTCCATGCACATCAGATAAAAATCTTAGTTTAGTGATTTTAACACTCCATACACCACCAACAATCAAAAGAGGCAACCTCAGAATAACAGTGTTGATAACTGAATTTTAACATATTGCATATTTTTGTTCACATCCCCATTGTGGCTGCTGCAATACCACCACTGCCATAGTGCCAACTCTACAGCACACTAGTTACTAACCCTAAGGACTGTAGAAAAGCTAGAATACCTTCCCCATGTTGGTAGATTCTTCTGATATATTGAGTCCATTGGAAGAACCTGTTGGTGGCCTTTTGTCTCATTGTAGATACGACGAGCTGCATCTGTGGTTTGTGTAACCACACAGTCCATATCACTAGCTAAATGCCACGAGATTACTTTTGCTGCTTCATCATCTTCTACATATGCTAAATGAGCAATCTAGGAAAAAAAAATCAAGCATAAAATTGATACAAAGTATCAAACAATTGCTTTGTTTTTCTTATTCTATAAAAATACTGTTTTTACCTTTTTAATAATTTGTTGCATCCCAGTGCTACTGATCGCCTCCAATTTAGCCACTTACAGTCTACATGCACTTGCTACAGCCTTAGTTGCACATAATTGCTCTAGCATCAGCTGCTTGTGTCCAGGGGCGATCATCTGTCTCTAACTGCAGGCAATTACTGAGTGAAAACTTCTGAATACCGGCAGACAGCTGCCCGCATACACCTGGGCTCCCAGCTGCAGTTTTCCACAAGATACTTGATCCTTACCATGGCCAATTTGGCTGTATGAATGAGAATCAATGGTGCCCTTACACTAGATGAAAAATCTTTTAAAAATCTGTCATTTGAATAGTTTTTTGTCCAGTTATTGGGCACAAATAGAAATTCGGTTTTGACATTTTTGAACCATAAATTCTAAGGAAAAGTTTGGGAAACTTCTGCCGCACAGACGATAAATTGAAAGGTTAATGTGTTTTTTTTGCAATGAATATGATGCCTCTTCTAAATGGCCGAATTTAAGAGGCAGGCAAATTACAGGAAGGTGTGTTTAATCTCCACTGAGTGGTCCCCGACAGCCCCCTTCCCAGTGCTCCAGAAGTCAATCACAGTTTGATTTCAAAGAGGCAACAGGTTGAGTTACCACAAGGTATTAAAGAGACACTAAGGGCTCCATTTATGAAAAATTTGTTTTGCGAATGTCTCAACATTAATGCAAACGTAGCCAATAATATCTGTAATGCGCATGTAATAGTTTTCTTGTCTTTTGCCAGGCGAGTGTAGCACTCTCTAACATTCAGTATTAAGAGAAAAATAGCTATGAGATGTGACCATAAGAGAACATTCCCCAATACAGAACATAGCCTGCAGATACACACTCTAGGCTCTAAGAACTTTTGAACAGCAGGGGATATAATACGGAGGAGACCTCTGCACTCTTTACAGTCTATGGAGATTCCTGTATGAAAAGCCAAACGAATCCCCAGCTGTAGTGTGAAGTGAAACATTTAGCAGTGGTGTAATTACCTCTGCTAAATAGAACAACTTCCTACTGATTGTTAGTGAGTCATAACAACTAGTCACAGCTTTTGAGATGGAGATAAGGAAACTAGGGGAATAATCGCAAGCTTCTGTCCACTGCTCCTCATCCAAAGGGTCCAAATCTTTTTTTCTAGCTCTCATCACGCCGACTCTAGCACAATTAACCATTAAAAGAGCACAAAAAAAGATTTCTTACAAGACCCTTCCTTGCAAAATGTTACAGAAACAACCATCGTCAGATGGAATATGCTTCAACATAACCATGCGAGATTGCGCCTTAAGGGCAGACATTTGAAAAGTAATTGTTTAGTTAACTGAATTTGTTCTGAGAGAGATTGAAATGAAAAGTAAAATATCATTATTGAATAACTGGTGAATTAAAAGAATGCCAGCCCATTTCAGCTCCCAAAAACCTCTAATTTTGATAGTTCAGGAAAATACAAATTATTCCAAATTAGGACATATTGGGTATACCCAGGATGTTCAGTGATTGTTTGGATGGCCAGATAAAGCTTTTGAATAAGCAAAAGAATAGGGAATTGCCACTGACTGTGAAAATGCCCAGCTTCCAATAGAAATATAAGGCTGTGTTTTGTTGAAGATGGGCAATAAGCAATCTCTGAATAAGATCCTCTAAATTTAAGCTACTCCACCCCTCTAAATGTTGAAGTAGGTCAGTATAAAATAATTTGGCATTAGGGACTGCCACACCACCTCCATCCTTTGAAAGTTGTGGTATCTCCAGTCTATTTCGGGGCTGGCTGTACTTTCAAATAAGAAAAGTGAAAAATTTTTTTTTTTTTTTTTTTAACACCCATTGTGTAATCCATAGAGTTGTGAAGAACAAATCATTTTTATCAAGTTTGCCCTACCTACCACTGATAGAGACAGTTTACACCAAGTTTTGCAAGTCTTCCTCATTCTCAGGAGTGACTCAATATTAAGAGATGCATAACCCTGAATTATAGGAGAAAGCTGAATGCCCAGATATTCAAAGGATTGTACCAATACTATCAACTACACCACCACAGGGAGCTTGGAAGTCAAGGGGTCTAATGGCAAAAGTGAGGATTTAGTCCAATTTATGATAAATCCGGAAAAGCGACCTTATTCATCTACTAGAAACATAAGAGAGACCAAAGATTGAGAAGTATCACTCAAGAACAACAAAGCATCATCCAAGTAAAGGGCAATCTTTTCCTCACCTGAGGGATAACAAAATTGCGTTATTCCTGGTGATCGTCTAACAGCTGCGGCTAACGGCTCCATGGCTAAAGCAAATAATAAGGGTGATAACAGACGCCCTTGTCTGTCCCTCTGTAGAGAAGAAAGGAATCTGACACATGACCATATGTGTCATCAAATTACCATGCGACTGTGAATATCCTCTGTTCAATATCACATGGATGATGTTAAAGTGAACAGTTAATAAAAAAATTACATTAAATAAAATAATGCTTGGAACCAAAAGAAGTCCCTTGAAAATCGAGTAGTCCTTACCAGGGCTTTTTTTTCTCAGGGAAAAGGTGCAGGAACGCCCCCCTCCCAATCCACAGGGGAGAGTAGCAATGTGGCGCATTGTGTGCACTACATTATATGGTGACTGTGGCAAAATTGCAAAGCGGGAGGAGGGTTTTAAAGGTGCAATGTTAAATAAAACCAGGATTGCACAAAACACGGAATGCAGAGTTCAGAAGTACCCTATTCAGAGTGCAATGTTCAGGAGTGTATATCTCACAACAGGCCAATTTCCAATCCAAAAGTGACCTTGCCCTAAATTCTTCACAAACACCCTCCCCTCCAGTACAGAGCTCTTCCCTCGAATCCCCCCCACTAAAAAATGTCATCATTCACCTGCAATTCTTGTCCTCAGTGCACCCCACTTTGCACAACTCACTTCTTCCCCCTAGCCAAAGTTCACATCTGTATCCCTATCTAAATGTTCACCTCTGTACTCCTGCCCAAAGATCACCTCTGCAGCCCCCTGTCTACAACTGACCTCTGCACCCTTGTCCAAAGCTCACCCCTGCACCACACCATCCACAGCTCACCCTGCTGTCCCATCCACAGCTCTTCTCTACACTTCCTGTCCATAACTTACCTCTGTACCTCCATCCACAACCCCATCTGAGGCAGATGCGGATGCAGAGGTGAGCTGCGGACAGTAGGTGCAGAGGTGACCTGCAGACAGCTGTGGGTGGGGGTGCAGAGGTAAGTTGTGGACAGGAAGTGTAGAGATTAGCTGTGGATGGTGGGATGCAGAGGTGAGCTGTGAACCAAGGTTGCAAAGGTGAGGTGTAAAAAAGGGGTTGCAGAGATGTGCTGGAGTCAGCTGTGGATGGGGATTACTATAGAGGTCTGGATGCTGATAGTTGTGTTTTGCAAAGGTAACTAGCCATATGAGGGCAGTGGGGGGGTGCACAGGTGAGCTGCAGTCAGGTGCTGCAGAGGTAAACTGACAGATACGTTGCAGAGAGCGTGCAGAGGTGAGTTGCGGCCAGGGGGTGCAAAGGTGAGTTGCAACTCAGCTCACATCTGCACCCCTCGTTCAAAGCTCACCTCTATTCCCATCCAGCTGCAGGTCACCTCTGAACCCCCCCTGGCCCCAGCTCAGCTCACTCCGGAACCCCCTGGCCACAGGTCACCTCTGTAACCTCCCGGCCTCAACTCAGTTCACCTCTGCATCCCCCACCACGTTTCAACTCAGCTCACCTCTGCACCCGTCTCATCTCAGCTCACCTCTGCACCCCCCCATCCCAACTCAGCTCACCGCTGCACACTGTCTGTAGCTTACCTCTGCACCCTATCTGCAACTCATCTCTGCACCATCTGCAACTCATCTGTTTACCTCTGCAACACCTGAAGGCAAATGACCTTTCCACACTCCTCTTCCTCCACTGCCCTCAAATCCTTAGCTAGCTTTGCACACAACTGTCAGCAGCCAGCTCCTCTCTATACTGGCGGGTCTTATCTTCAAATACAAAGCACTCGTGTACCGCTCTGCCTCTTCCCCACTGGCCGGCGATCACCCCTGGGGTTTTGATTTCCAAGCATCAGGCTGCAGGACGAGATGCCCCGCCGTGATCTGATAAACACACTGAACAATACCCCCGCAGATATCAGCTCCTCCCCTCTACCATGATAGTGAGTACAGTGGTAGAAAGGTCCTGTGGGAGCCTATGGCACTGTCACTTACAAACACAAAAGCCGCACTTCTGTGTTTATAATTGACAGTAGACATTGATGTGCACTGTGCAGAGAGCGTTCCGCCACGTTCCAGTTGAAAAAATATTATATATATTCTACTAATATTTCTTTAATCAATATAGTGAGCCACCAGTCAATGAATATTCAATAAATATGTTCTAATCTTCTCTCAGTTTGTGCATAATGTTTGGTCAAATAGCGATTGTGTCTCTTTCATTGGACTTTGAAAGAATGTCTCGTGGATTATGATTCATTCTTACGGGCAAATCGAATCCTCTATGTGCAACCTCCTCCTTCTCACTCCACCGCCCAGCATGAAGAAACAAATGCGCAATCGCACTCAGGGGAAGCTACTTGACCCTATGGTGCAACGCATATAGGGGAGGGCCTAATTACATCACAATGCTTGCGTTGTCCGGCGGATTGGTAACACGAGGATGTCATTAGTATTGCTGTTTTACATGCTGGCTGTATCTGGTGCAATTGAGCACCAATGAAATGTGAGTGGCTCATTGTTAGGCTTTTATGTTTTGGAATAAAGGTGTTTTAAATGATAAAGCACTATGTTCTGCCCATTTGTTTCTTCATGCCGAGCGGTGGAGTGAGAAGGAGGAGGTTGCACAGAGGATTCAATCTGCCCATCAGCTTGAATCATAATCCAGGAGACATTCCTACAAAGTCCAATTA